TTGGGCTACGTCGCTGCGCCCCCGGCCAGGTTCTCTTAATTCCTTTTTTCTTATACTACCCCTCCTTATTATTTTACTATTATACTTATATTCTTACGTAGCCCCAAAAGAGGAGGGGGGGGGGAATCTTAAAAAAAACACATACACAAAATTTACACTACGGGGGACGGGGGGAATAAAACGGGGGGGGGTATATGGCCTCCTACCTCTCCTAGGGAGCCGGAACCTCCATGTCAGCCGCGCCCCTTTTTCTGGTCCCGCATCACGCGAGTCCGGTACTGAAGGGGCCTCGGCTGAACTGTCCGGTCCGCTCATGGCCCGACGGCCAGGTTATTTATACAGGCAAAAACAATAGCAAGCCCTCAGCCGAACAATACAGAAACAATACAACATTATCCTCAGAGGCACATCATTAGACAAATTAAAATCTAAATTTGGCGATCAAGCTCGATGATGTACTTTCCGAGCACTTCGACAGTTGCATTTGCAGAGTGAAACAAATCCAGTTTCCATCGCATCATATCTGCCGCCTACGTTCTGCCATTCTTCTTCCATGTATTGATGTGCTGGTCTTACACGGTTATGGCTATGTTTCTACATATTTAGGTATCGTGTAAGTATTTTTTTGTAATGTAGACTGCAAGATCTAACGCTACATAACGGCTAATTTTATTTCTCCAAAACCTAAGAAAGTAGCCTATTTTCAGTGCATAAGCCACACTAAGTTTGTTCTCCTTTTTCAATGAAATAAAAAGGATCTCTAGTGCAAAGCGTTTTTGTCTACTAAAGAACTGATTGGCAATTTGAATTGTGAACAGCGCTTAGACATAGAGGCTGTGAGTCTTTACTGAAAACCTTCAGCACTCAAAACAGTACCTGGTCTATTGCACAGCATTCATATTTGAGACTCGTTATTATGCAAAATTCCGTGGCACCTCCGCAAAATTGGTCGCTCACACAAGCTGAAAAAGGGTTGTTGCCCACAGCTGCAGGCGTAAAATTAGTAAATGAGAAACGGATTTTATCTGACGAAATTCAGCAGACTCCAATTCTTCAGCAGTTAGGATTCGCTCACTTACGTCCCGTTCCTCCGTTAGCGCAGTCTTGAAATTGCTGTTGTCTTGAGATGTAAGAAGAACAGTAGTTGCAGTATAGAAATCGAGAGCATTTTCCTGCTGAAATCATTTTATGACACAGAGCTTTTATAGAGCAGGTCTCCTGCAGCAACGAACCAACGATGGAAGTTTGAAGGGGTCGCTGAACAAAGCCATTTTTAGTTTTAAAGCACTTAATTGATGTCTTCAGCACAAATGTAATTAAGCGTTTTGGTAGAATGTCCTGCGCTCAGACTTCAATCTACTGGGGAATCCTCAAATTTTGCAATTTGATTCTTCACCAAAGTAAAGAATGCTAGAGAAGACGTGCTTAAATTTTAGTTAGGTTACGGGACACATTGATAAAGCAAAGCAAACCATATAAGAGTGCACATACAGCGGGTCGCCGCTCGCTCACACAATTAGATTGTCGGGTAATTTCTATTACACCTTTCTTTAAAATTCCAAAAAGAAAATCCGGGAGCTGTCAGAATCTTTAAATTCGCTCCATATGTAGTTAGACCCGAATATTCGAGTTCGAATGATTTATTCGAAAAATTCGACTATTCGAATATTCGAATAGTCGAGTATTCGAAATAAAACGCTTTTATTCGACTGTTCGAATAGTCGAATGTGGAAAAGAGACAATTATTTTCGAATATTCGTTCATTCGCCCATTTGGAAAAACGGCATATTCGAATATTTGAGTACTCGATCCGTTGGAAAAAACCAGTATTCGAATATTCGAATATTCGACTCAATAAAAAAAGGACTTATTCGAATGTTCGATTATTAGTTTTGTGCTAACATGCTCCTCATGTATTATATTTCCAGGTTTGTCGTCAATCAACAAAACCAAGGAGCTTAGGCTGGAAACGCGCGAGAGTGAGTTCTCAAACTTGATTCTTGTAAATAGCTCAGTCATAATATTTATAATACAGGGTGTCCGTAAAGTATGTTTACACTGTTTGATCGTTAATATCTCTTTTCCCAAGAAGTCTTTTGCCTTGCTTCAGATACCATTTTGTAGAGCTGGCTTCAACTTAGATTTTCAGCATAGAACGAATCAGCCATCTCTCTTCATTACTGTAGGATTACGGTAGAAACTTGAAACATGGTGTCAATGTGGAAAAAGCTGCCGTTTCAAAATTTTTCAAAAAAATGTGAAAACTTGTGTAATAGGGTTTTTATGGACGCTGAGTTCAATACTCAACTATTTACAAGATGCGAAGCTTTCTAAACGGTGTAACCGCACTTTTGGGAACATTAAAAAAAAGGCCGCTACCTCTCACCTGGCATAACTCTTCAATGAAGCATCATAATAAGTTGGGAACTTTACAGTTAGAATCAGCAACTCTAATTAGCCCAGCATAAAAGTTTTCAGGCTGTATTGTTTCCTTTCTGAGGCAAAATATGGCCTTTTATGGTTCAAAACCCTCTTTGAAGTTACCACCGTAATCCTACAGTGATGAGGAGAGATGGATGATTCGCTTCATACTGTAAATCTAAGTTGAAGCCAGCTCCACAAAACGGTTCCTGACGCAAGGCAAAAGACTCCTTGGGAAAAGAGATATTAACGATCAAACAGTGTATACATATTTTACGGACACCCTGTATATCTCCGTCACATGCCTTCTACGGCTGCCTATTTATAGACTGCTTGCTGCATGACGAAGGCGCAATATTCTCGGGCGCGAACGCGGCTTTCTTAGCTGCAGAGCGCCTTGAGACGCAGTATTTACAGCGGTGAAACTACGCGCGCGCCGCGTTCGCGCCCGCTCAACTAATATCGTTTCTGCGCCTTACAAGGGAAGGATAGTTGGAAGCCGCGGCCATTCCTGATGATTTGTATACCAGAAAATGCGCCTTCGAATGCAGATTCTGAATCTGTGCTCGAAATCTGCGAAACGATCTTTTGAAGAAAGTTATGAACTTTTTTCCTTGAAAATTTAGCCTACTTTTGTATAGTAAAAATCACCAGATTTGATCTAGCCTACCGTTTGATGCTACTGACGAAAATTTTAGACGTAGTAATATTTATTTAGACTATCTGGATCATACTCAGCATTTGGAAAAGCGAGAAAATCTTTTTATTGATGATTTTGACCCTCCGCAGGAACCAATTTTTTAATGAAAAAAATCATAACTCCATTCAGAATTATCGTTTCGCAGATATGAAAGACAGTTTACGAACCAGCATTCAAAAGCGCATTTTTTGGTATACAAATCATTATGAATGGCTACGGCATCCAAGTATCCTTTCCCTGTTAGCTGTATGGGGCGCATCCCACTCCGACATTCAAATATATACAGCCGATGTCAACCAGGTGCTCCCTATTCCGTAGCAGTCACGCGTCCGCTCCGCGGAAGTCTAGTGCGGCGACCTCGATCGATGAGTCGAGTGTTGAATGGGCAAGCTACACGCGCGCGAACGCGACGCGAGGCTCCGCTTTGCGATTTGGCCGGTGGAAAAGGGAGCACAAGGTCTGCACGGACTATAGATATCCGCTGTAAATAAAAACATCATACATCCAATTGTGCTTCATCGCTGAATTTTGCAATACCTTTTCCTAGAGAGTTGTTTGCTGCTGATAGGCACACTGCGGATACGTACTATGAAATAATCCCATGCGCATATAGCTGACAACCGGTAAGATATTGTGTCGCCATTTTGTATCGGCTGCCGCATCGGAAATAAGTGCTGCGAATGCGTAGTTGGGGAGGGAAGAGGGGAAGGCTGCGCACATTTGTGCATATTATTGAACACAGGCGTCGACTGAAAAACAAGCAATGATAATTGCTGTTTTCTTTGAAACATGAATTGCTGTAAAAACAACAAAAATACGCTGACATATTTAGCACCGTTATAAGGCTGCCTCAGCTCTCCTCCCCCTTCCCCTCTCCTGTAACAGCCCAGCCTGACCAGATTAGATCATCATCCTATTAGTATGGTTGGATCAAAACTATTAGCACGCGCCAATGTTTTTGCGTAATGCTAGCGGTTGATTGTGCTCTAGTTTCGCTCGCATGGACTCGTTATAATACTTACATCACCGAAGAACTTCATCGGGCAGAGGACTTTATGAACCTCTACAGTTCACAGTCATAGTGAAATTGACAGAGAAAGTTATACAGAAAATTTGCGTCACTTGTTGCCAACCTAATGATTTAGAAAGTACGGCTGCATCAAATTTTTTGAGGAAACAGATTTTGTAGTGGAGAAAACAGCTAACAGTTCGATGCATATGATAAGCTTAGGCATAAGGAGAACGCAGCTGCCCAACCTTACCTTGCTGCACCAGATGTTTGGACATTAGCAGATATCACGTAATTGTATCTACGAGTGTTTTCTGCAGGTTGCCATCCACGCCCAAACGAACACAATCAGAGCAACAAACAAAGCGACAGTTTGAATTTTACAAATTCATAGAAAAAGGTAAACACCGAAAATCTTTCTTCCAGAGCCCTCAGGAAACAAGCTTCATAAGTCAATGTATTCCAGCTTGGTTCAATATGAGCGTAGTCTGGAAGCTTTTCACCAAAACGTTTGATGAGAAAGGAAACAGCATTGCCACATGCAATATTTGCAAGAAAAAAAAATGAAAATCCCACTGTCTAAGACTACCACGAATCCATCTCAATGAGAATTATAAACAAGAAGTTCAACGAGTCAAGGAGGAGCAGCCAACTATGCCTACAACTCTAAAGTCGCAGCCTTCTATAATAACGGCATTTTCACCAAAAATGACAAATGAAGCCCGAAAAATTGCAAACACACGACTCGCTATGCTTATCGCCCAAAAATCACTCTCCTTCAGCTTAGCTTCATCTCGAAGTTTTCGCCACTTCGTCCAATCGCTGAATCCAGGCTACATCCCCCCATCAAGGAAAACATTGCTTAGCATTATGGAGAGCGAGGTTGCTCGAATGGACCAGGACAATAAGCAGCTGATACTGAGCGCGATTGGATTAGCCATAACAGCGGACTGCTGGAGTTCTTTCAACGCAGACACCGGACGCCTAACAATTACAGGCCTCATTGTTGGGGTTACGACAAACAGTCGTCATAACGTTATTCTTGTTTGTATCGCTCTCGGATATGAAAGGTATAACTTCACGGCACTTTCACGAGAAATCCGTCATGCGCACGCTATTTCAGTCATAGTGCCGATCTCATTGCTCATCACATCAGATGTAGTCTTAGCAAACTGAATATTGAAAAGTCTTTAGTCTGCGCTATGGTGGCTGATGGTGCATCCAATATGAAAAGAGCGGCTGCTAATTTCAATGTCAAATAGTAAGTGAAGTCGCGCACAGTTTGGGAAGTGTGATCGTATAATTTAGTTTGCAATGTGGCGCACACCTGATAAACCTAGCTGTGCGGAAGGCACTCACGTGCGAGCATATATCCCCTTTGGTGCAGAAGTGTAAATTATTGTTGCGAAGCTGAATCGCAATAATGTTCTGCGAGGACTTTTCAAGAGGTTCTCATTTGTACATTACTTGGACGAAATATTAGGTTGTCCGGAAATTCGTGCCCGTTTTGAATTTCAACCGCAATAAGTCATACAGCTCTCACCTCTAAATAGGATGCAGAGTATCATTCGATAGAGTAAAGCAAGCTCTACAAAAAGCCATCTTGCTTTTGCAACAGCTCTCATCCACCTCGAGTTTCGAGCCAAAAACTGGCAAGACTCGGCAGCTCGAAAAATTGAAAAAGATCGTAACTCAGTTCACAAAAATCTTACAAAAATTCTTACTTGCTCACGTAAACACTATCCACATAAAACATCTATATACGCCTTTGCTGTGTCTTTCCTTCTGTTAGAAATCAAGAAAACGGAAATTTTCGTTCATTTGCCAAAGTCGTGTTGTGCCGTCCCCACATAGATAATTGTGTACTACAAACCTATAGAAGTACAAACGTAAATTTCCAGCTCTCTACAAGCTTTAGTTCTCGAGAAATTTGAATTCTAGCTTGGACCACCTGACTAAGGGAAGCTATATTCGGTATTTCTCAAGAACTAAAGCTTGAGAGTGCTGAAAATTTGGTCTGTACTTCTAAGGCTCGTTGTATACAACTACTTATGTGGGGACGTCACAGCACCACTTTGGCAAATGCACGAAAATTGCCGTTTTCTTGGTTTCCAACGGAGGGAGAAATACGGCAAAGGCGTATATGGATGTTTTATGTGGATAGTGTTTACGCGAGCAAGTAAGAATTTTTGTAGGATTTGTGAACTAAGTTACGATTTTTTTTGGTTTTTCGGGCTGCTGAGTCTTTTTAGTTTTTGGCTCAAACCTCGAGGTGTATGAGAGCTGTTGCAAAAGCAATATGGCCTTTTTGTAAAGCTTGCTTTGCTTAATCGAATGGTACTCTGCATCCTATTTAGAAATGAGAGAAATATGACTTGTTGCGGTTGAAATTCAAAACGGGCATTAATTTCCGGACAGCCTAATACAACGAATGTTTTTTTAGCTATCTCGAAGAGTCAAGTCTTCCAAAAATAACTCCTGCGAGCGACTGCCCCACACGTTGGGGGTCAACCTACACCATGATATGCGATGTCCTTAGCACGGTAATATATGCTAGTCTTTTGCATATTCAACAATCTCACAATTTTTTAAAGGGGAGCGCTGGATAAGTTGCTAGAAAATCAGTGTATGGATCCTTTTGATGATGAAGAATTCAAAACTTTAAAAACAGTGAGAACGTTCCTTGAGCTCTATTACGAACTTACCAAGAAGGTGACTTAGCACAAATACTATTTCGTTGTCTGATATAAGCAAGGTAGTTCCTAGATGTGCGCAGCTCAAGCTACTTGTTCGCTGCTACTTGCTGGAGGGAAACTCCTGTTGGCTAAAACGGAAAGGTGGTTATGAACTTGTTTTGATCGAACGAGCAGATGATTTTGTATTTGTAGCACTTGTAACGACCCTCGCATCAAATCGAAACAGTTCGGAAGCATATTGCTTATGGAAACAAGACGTCACTTTGCCCCTTCTTTCGCAGATGAAACGTTACGCATTGCTGCGCTTCTTGACCCGCGCTTCGCATTTCTTGGAAGGATAGCATCTGCAGATGAGTGGAAAACAATTGTCGAGAAACTGATCGAGTCTAAGAGTAAGCATATTTGTGAAATTGCTTACACAACCTAATAATCTTATTTTAGTGGGCTAATCTTTTAGTAGCCAGGATTCCCTTGATATACCCACTTCCACAGCTAGGGACAAGGTTTCGTCTTCTGGGATCCCATAGCAGACTGTGAGCATGACACCAGCGCTAAAAGGTGTCTCTTATCTAATCAGGGAGAGGGAATGATGGTTGGCTGGAGTAATATTTTATAATTTCTCTACGATCATATTTTACGAATAGAAATGCAGCAGCACTCCCTTCTATTAAAAAAGAGCCGACCGGAAAAAGACCTTTCTCCTCTTTCATGGTGGAAGGATCATGCTAACGAATCTCCAATCCTTTCGAAAGAAGTGCCGCACTACCTCACTAACCCGCAACGTCGGTAGATGGGTGAAAGATTATTTAGGCACGTTTGCACTCTTCAACGCAGGTTTGCTATCTTTCCTTATTTAGCCTTGCCGGAATCATATATGGTAACAAAAGGAGGGGGCGTTTGTGCGGTGAGAGTGCAAGGTTGCTTCTTATGCAAATTTAACGTCAACAAAGAGATAGGAAGGTAAGACTAGGTATGAGTAAATTTTCGCCATTAATCAAAAGCAGACGTTTAGAGAGTGTAAATGCTGGAGCGCTGCAGAAATCAGGCGCTACAAGAGGAACGCTGATGGTAGTGATGATGACGATGAAGATTCCTCGTCCGTCGAGTTTCCCGTTGAGGACACAACAGCAGCATTTGAAGACATTGAGGATTTGGAGGACATAGAGGAAACCCTCTGATGGAAACCCTCTTTGCGTATTGTATCTTGCATCAAGTAACTTTAGCTTCAACTTTACATTTCATCAAGATGTTCTTTGCCGTTTTTAGTGTATGAAAGTCTTTGATTTCGCTCTTTTTGCACTGAAGCTGTGTGGTATCTATGTTAGTGACAAATAAATAGCGTGCTACAGTCAATGGCATCATACTTTTTGCGTCAAACTTACGCTTGAGTTGACAAGGTGATCTAGCTGTCATCCTGCCTCCGTTAAATCGCTTTTTGATTAGGATTCTAGCATCCACAACCCTTGGTTTTACTCGATTCGCAATGGAAATAGGCGAGTTGCAGCTTCTGCTGCAGAATACTGCAACAGAGGACGATCAGATTGAGTTTATCAGAGACTAAATTCATTTGAATTGTTCGAATAGTCGAATATTCGGTCATGTCCAAATACTCGATTATTTGAATAGTCGAATTCTTGAAAAGTACCAAATTCGAGTATTCGAGTAATTCAAAAATCACAATTCGAATAATATTCATTCGTTCGAATAATTTTTGAAATTGGATTATTCGAAATTCGTTCATTTGAAAAAAATTTTCGTTCGTTCTAACTATAATATGTAGCTCAGACAATTGCATCGGGAAGTTTGCGGCCTCAAAGCGTGCTACATGGCGCGCCGCGGCCATTAAAATTTCAGCCGCGCACGCCGCGGCCCATGTATATTTTACCGGAAACGCCGCGGCCAAAGTTAAAATTGGAAAGAGCTTATCGGGAGAGTCGCGGCCCAATCACTTCACTCGGCGTGCCGCGGGCCTTATCAAAGGCCGCATTTCTTACACGCTGTAGCTTAAGACGCAACCCGCTTGAGGTACGCCGCAGCAATGGGCACCCTAAGTGTTTGTAGCCTTCGTAATCGCTTCTCGGATTGGGTTGTGTTGACAGTTGAGTTTATATGCTCACGAAACAAATGCAATCGGTTGAGTGTTATCGACGTCAGTTGACGATGTCGACAGATGAGCTAACAAGTTGCTCAATTTATACTCAGTTGTTGTCATGAAAGATAGGCCAAAATTTTTTTCACTCTTTCTAGGCCTCACAAGCATGCTAATCGGTTCAACTATCGGGCGCTTACAGGATGCGCCGCGGTCACTTATCGGGTCCAGTATTGGTTTATACCGGGAGCTCGCGGCATGGATGATTGGTGGCCGATCAAGCACCCGCGAACTTCCCGATGCAGTTGTCTGAGTAGGGCACGGTAGGGGTACACAACAACATGACAAGCACCGCAAATGTAAGTTCAGCACTTTTACCACAGCCTTGTAAACACGCTCAAAATTGCCGTTTTTTCCTTTCTTCACGATATATTTTTGCACTGTCTTTTTATGGCAACAATCTAGCGCGGTTAGCTGTTAAAACGAGGGTGAAAAACATTTCAATTTTCGTCGAATGTTCCTTCGTGTGCAACACGTAGAACTTGATACGGAAGATTAAGAATTTTAGATTTAAATTAAGAATTAAGATTAAGAACGATTTTTGAAATTTCTTGGATACATGTTATTCATGTAAAGATGTACAATGATGCCTTTAACGAGGCCAGCGCCGCGTAGTGCAGTCACACATCTAAGCGCAAGCGTTACCGTACCGCAGCGTGCAGGGATCATGCTGCGCACAACATCGCGAGCCTTGTTTTTATCATTGTAACCCGTGATCTTCTGTTCTTGTAGCAGCGGATTGCCATTTTTCTTGCGTCTGTGCTCACATGCGATCTGTCTTGATACCGGAAATGATTTGTTTTTCCCAGGGAAAGAGGTATCAAATTTTTGAGCGCTTTTTTCTCGTGACATTTTCCATTTCACCCAGGCCTTCTTCGGATGGCTGACTTCGGATATCATGACTCATGTATCGACTCGTGGTTTAGCGGATATGATCATATCTCGTTTAGGTTTTAGATAACTCCAACGCGCTGTTCACTCAAACTGTTCTCTCAACCTACACGATATACGATTACACCGCACATATTTACCTTTAACTGCAAGGAAGAAGAGCACCAGCCGTTCTCACAAGGGAAGAATACTCGCGCAGTGACGATTGGGTAAGCGGTGCGCGTAAACGGAAGCAAACGGTGGTCTTTAAACCGCACTCCATATTTGCTACGACGTCATTCTGAAAGAGCTATGAAGGATTTTGCAAAAACGCAAAGTCCTTGAGCGTCCGGGAGGAATCGGACCCACGACAATCGACATTCAGGCTCGGGTCCAAACCACTATCCACTACACCAGTCGATCACTTTGGTGGCGAGGCAAGACTACTATAGTTGAATGCGCCTGCGGCACCAAAAATCCTTCATAGCTCTTCCTGAATGATGTCATAGCAGATATGATGGAGTGCAGTTTAGAGATCACCGTTTGGGGACGGTAACGATTGTCACTGCGATCAACATCCTTCCCTTGTCAGAATTCTCAGAAATGATTTAGATTACATCCTCTAATTCTCAAACCTCTATTTGATCTTTCATTCTCGCTGTAAACTTTGAGAGATCTCAGGAAGTACCGAAATAGAGTTTCAGGCAGTAAAAGCTTAGAAATTTGGAAGCACGATAGCGAAAAAGCTAAAAAAGAAGCAGGAAGAACAGCTAAAACAAGGACCACGCCGCTTTGCGCGCCATGGTCCTTGCACGCTGCAGTCCACGGTAGCGCTCGCGCGCAGGTGTGCGACTGCACTACGCGGCGCTGGCCCCTCACACGCATTGTATATGCACCAACATGGTGCACCACCAAGGATTCATGTGCCATCCACCCATATTCGCTAACCAAAGCGTCCCGTCTCTTCGCTGTCATCTGAAAAATGCTAGCTTATCAACGAAAAAGTCCGCAAAACTACTTTCAACTTTAAAGTAGGTATTTTGCGTCTCTGCATACCACGTACGATGGATTTTGCACTCTGTGGACATCCCCGAATTTTTTTCAAAATCTTCAGATTTTTATTGCATGAAAATAAGAGTTTAAACAGAAACAGACAACAGAAAATTTTCTCGTCCCGTAAGTCTTTTTATTTACGACACTTTATTGAGGATATACTGCCACCAAGCAAGTCTACCGGGGAGAGTCTGATGACTTGAAGTGAATAACAAAGATTGTAGTAAATGATCAACTTTTGAGTGACTGAGAGGATGATTCAAGTTATAGCAATGTATGGAGATGATGCTCATACATGTTTGCCAGCATGCTCAAAGTAATAAAACAAGCAAACAAGGCTAGATTGGTCGAGTAATAATTACCCTTGTCCAAAAAATTATGCAACACGATGGCGTGAAGCATCTTGCCGTCGCTTGTTTTGCCACTCAAACGATAGAAAGCTTAGGTTTTTCTCCTCTTATGGTCACATATAAGAAGTTTATCTAGGAACAGAATAACACTATCGTAATGCTTATGCTCATTTTGAGTCGTTAAAAATGCGGTGAATATCATTCAAAAAGAAGATGAATTGCCTTGTTTGACAAGTGACAAAAAAAATTTGTTAAAACCTATCAAACATGCAGAGATGACCTGTCAATTTTTAGTGACACGTGGCAAAAGGTTGAAGCTTCTTCCTGCGAAGTTGGAACTAAAAATGATGCAAGAAAAGAAGCAATACCTTTTTCGAAAAATGCATCGGGATAAAGTATTAGAACGTGCACATCGTTATTATTAATAACTCTCCTGCACTGATCTCTTTCGCCGATCTTTGAGTACTATTTTATAACCTGGCTTCAACTTAGAATTTACAAAATGGAGTGAGCCCCGATTACTCTTCGCTACTGTAGGATTAGGTAGGAACTTCCAGTACACACAACCATTATAATTTGGGCCATCTGACAATTTTTTTCATTAAATTTGAGAAATTGAGTAACAGCTTTTCGCACACGTTAAATTCACCAAACCAAATTTTACGATTTTTTGTACTTTTTCGATGGTATGACCACATTTGGGCATTAGAAAAGCATCCATTACGTCTAAGAAAGCAACTTAGAAAAAACCCATCGCATTAGAGTGCAAATTTCCTATTCGAAATCACTTTTTAGCCTGTTTGGTTTTCTTTTTGAAGCAAAATATAGCTCTCAATGGCTTGAAACCGCCAAGAAAGTTCCTGTCGTAACATTACATTGACGACGAGTGATGAGTGGTCCGCTCCATATGTAAATACTAGTGTGAATATAAGTTGAAGAAATCTTTATAGAACTGTACCTAAAGATCGGCGGAAGCCACTGATGCAGAAGAATTATTAACGATTAAACAGTGTGCATATTTTTTGGAACACTCCGTATGAATTACTGAATATACAGATTCAGCCTTTCACAGGCACTTTCCAAATATGTCGATAACAAAGTAAACTAGAAAGAGCAAATTTTCTTTGGTTTTTTGTATTTAATGGCTTTTCTAAAATATTTCTGGCCATGAAAAAATGCAGAACTGTACATTAGGCGTTTAATATAGAGAGTTTTTGTAAGCAGTTAGAAGTCCCTAGATTCAATTTTCGAGAAATGAAAAAATTTTGTTTTTTACTTCAAACGGACAGATCAGGCTTTATGTAAATGCTCAAAGTCTAGTTTGTAGAGATGCTTAGATCATTTAGGCTTTTACACTGGAGAACTGGAGAAACACCTCTTTGTCAAGTGAAAAATTATGGAACAACCTAATACTTAGAACACCAAATGACTTGACTATGTGAACGCATGTATAAACATGCTGGTAGCCTTGTGCGCTAAAAACTGTTAACAATTCCAGCATTATTTTTGTCGCAACCTTTTTGCAGGAGAGTCCATCTCTGATTCATCTCAAAGATAAGTCAATCTCTGCAGGGCTTTGACTAATGATTAAGCCAAATTTTCCAAGTTTAACATAAAGCCAAAGGTTTTATTCGGAATAGAACTGTCTGGAAGAGCAATGTATGAGCGCATCTATGTTTAACTCTGTTTAACTCTCCTAAACACTGTGCCAGTTTATAAAAATAGCGCAAAATTTTTTCTTTGTTTCTAGCCATTACAAAGAAAGGTAGGTGTATATTCAATATGATATCAGATGGGGAAGGTATATGCGTGAGCGATTTGAAAATTCGCAGAACTTTCAAACTGACATACGCTTGTTTTTTTTTTGTTTTTTTTTTAGAAAATTTTGAATTTTCTTTTGCACGCTACCCCCCGCATCCTATCAGGGATATAACATGCACTGACTCATATCGATGAAAATTGAAACATGAAAAGATTTTTACAACCTAATGTAAGTTACGATACTCCATAAAGTACGTCAGATGTTTTTTCATAAAATACCCCATGAAAAACAGCGCTTATCATCAAAATTTCAAAGTTTATTGCTTTCGAACTACTTTTATGCTAGCACAGTTGAGCAAATGTTAAACTTCTAACTGATTCTAGAATTTTTTTTATTATACAGTGCGAGGTCTTCCAGGATTCCAACGAAAGCTTCGCAATCTGCACAATCGCGATAAAAGTTTTTTTTTGGTTCAAAGTGCCTTAACAAACACTGAAATGTCGCAAAAAATTATCAGCAATATAATCACAGCTGAGCATGTATCACGAAAGCATTTCCTTTCCTTAATGATACTTTGATTTCTGTACATTGAATATTGCAGCGGAACTATAGAATAAATCTATAATGCGGATAGCAAGAACATGCTAAATCATGATTATCTTTTGAAAACTGATCATTTATCATGTTACGGTATGAAACTATAGAATAAATTTACAATGCGATTTGTAAGAACATGTTGAATTATGATTAGCTACAAAGAATTGATCATCCACTTAAAAATAAATGTAATATTTATTGCCAGCTGTCCGTCGGCAGGCAATACCAGCTTAACACCAATTCGAGGTTATGGATCTTATCAACATCAGCAGATTGCTCAAATCTTTCAAACGAGTAATGACAAAGACTGGACCTTGCAATTATGCGATATGACGAGAATTGAGGGAAAAGTCAATTTTTCCTCACTGAAATAAGGCTGCTTTAAGAGTTCATACCTATAATCTAGCCGAGAGACGTTATGCGGAAGTTTATGTCAAATCAGTAAATATTTCATTGAAACTTCCTGGCTTACCAGTTAGCCTAATCGTGTGATTTGCAGCTGACTAAGTTGTAATGCAGGGGGAGCGGAACTTACATACAGGTATAGGCTTGCCGCTACGTAATTATGAGAGGTCATGAACTGGCACCAAAGCTATTTTGTACCCAAATTGCAGCGAAGACGAGCTGATTTTGCACACGGTAACTCTGTTATCATACTACAGCTTATGAAACCATTTCTTTGAAATTCGAATTCAAAGTTCAGTAGTAAATTCAGTCTAATTAGGGTAAAAACTTGTATTTAGGGGTATTCTATCATGCTGATTCCAAATATGATAATCGTTTCGCTTAAAACCTAGAATTTTTTTCTTTTTTGAATCTGAACTTGAACCACAAACTTTCCAACAAAAACTTCAAAAATTCCTTTAAGGGTTTTCTGTGAATGTGCTGTTTCCGGATATGCTACTGACTTCGCTCGAAACTTTGAATATTTTTTCTTTCGAAATTTTAATTTGTTCTACAAATTCCCGGCAAATTTGGCAAATTTCACAATGAGGGATTTCTGACATACTGTTTCCGAAAAAGCTGATGGTCTCGTTTGATACCTCAAAATTTTTCTATTCTTGAATTTCCCACCTTTTTCCCGTAACCTCACTGCAAATTTGATGAAACTGAAAAACAAACGGAAAAGATCTACAGAGGATTTGAACAACTCAAAATTTCGAAGGAAAAATAATTCAAAGTTTCAAGCGAAGTCATTAGCATATTTGGAAAACAGCATCACAGAAAACCCTTAAATAGAATTTTTAAAATTTTTGCTGGAATGTTTGTGAAAACAAGTTTAAATTCAAAAAAGAAAAAATTCCAGGTTTCAAACCAAACGATTATCATATTGAATTCTATTTTCAAAGAAATTCCGGTTTCATAAGCTGTAGCATGATGACGGAGTTACCGTATGCAAATCCAGCTCGTTTTCGGTGCAAATTGGGTGCAAATTGGCGTTGCTGCCAGTTCATGACCTCTCATGAACTCCGCTAATTACGTAGCGGAAGTCTATCCTTGTATGTAAATTCCCTCACTCGTAATGCAGAGTTTAAATTGTGGAAGGTACGCCTAAACCGAGATCACAATGTAAGGCCTTTTGGGTCAAAGATGTGGATAGTATATGCGGGATTAAATCGAATGTTAAGATGATATGACTGTCAAGTTTCTCAGATTTCTCTGCGTACGCTCCTGCTTCACATTTTTTTAGAAAAAAGGTCAACTGTGCGTGATAACCTTCGTGATAGATTGTGAAGTACGAAAGTTTCCTCATTCACACTCGCTATGGTGAAAACAATGTTCTTAAAGGTTTATGATTCACTCTTTTGAAGACAAGGTCGAACCTCAGTCTTATAAACCTTTGATAATTTCTTTAAGCACTAGGCTGTTTTTGAAAGTACTTTACTCGATCAAACCTTTTGGTCACTTCATTTTGATGCGCACGCTGCTATGAAGCTGCTGCTTGTCACTATGTTTGGCTAAAACCATGCATTTGGATAGATGGAACTCTATGAATGAGAGACATTGCAGATGAGGGAAGCAAAATGTTTATTTGCATATTTTGCAAAATTTGTGACAACGGCTTTTATAAAATAACCCAATGCTTTGACATCACATGCAGAAGCCGCACGTTCTTGGGCACTGAACTCTTCGGTATATCGCGTTGTTACAAAGGTAGGCTCTCTGCGGACAGTCCGATACCCCAATCTGATAATGAACCAAATCTCTGCAGTTTAAACTTATAAATAAGCAATTACAGTATTAATCAAATGAACGTCAATGTCTGACTCACTTGGATCTGATTGTTGTGTTGCACCGTTACAACGATTGCATGTTAATGGACACTGCTGAGTCATTAATGTATAATAGAGTGAATTAGTGCAAAGATATGAAAGCCTTGGACAGTCTGATACACCCGTCAGAGGGCTCACTTGGTCCACACAAGCTGAACTCAATCGTTGCGGTAATTATTTCATGATATTTAAGAAGAAAAAACAGAAGCTTGTTAGTTGTTAGTTGCACGGAAGAAAAGGAAAAGAAAAATAATAATTTTTTTGCGTACTAGGGGTTGCAGCCTGTGTTGGAGCCTGCGTTGGGGCCTGTATTGGGGCAGCCGTCGTTCCACCGCTGAGAATCTGTATTACGACAGTTTTGATAATGCACAATTTTTGACGGAACAGCTAGTTTGTGCGCATTGGAAAGGAAGGATTCTTCAACCCATTAGCGGAGGGAAAGAAAGAGAGGTGTAAGAAATTCCAGAAAAGTTAAGTGATGTGCGCGCGAAAAAATCTAGAGGGCACTTCCAAAACTATGGAGGAAGTGGCTAACGCTACGCGTCATTTGAACTAATTTCCGGGGCTTTTCCCTCTCTTCCAAATTTTTCCTGAGGGAATTTTTCTCGACCTTCTCCATTCAAGCGACCAATTTCTCAACGTAGGTGCTAGAAGCAAGGTTTCGAGGAAAATAATATACACAAGGCACTTCTTCTCTCTTTAGAAAGCTTAAATATTGTTTGTTTGCCTCTTTGATAATGATTGTGGAATGCAGAAAAAAACGCAACTTTTGGACCAATCTTGTATAAATTCTTAGCCGCAGTTTGTTTTCTCAAGTGGTAACAGATAATTAGTTCTACTGGATGCTGTGCTCAAACTTAATAAGGCAAATGCACGAGCAACACATTCTTTTTCTTTGAAATGCTGCACGTTCTGCTCATTTATTGCTCGCTTTAATTTTTTTTAAATTTGTAACGTGTCCTTGTGAGCTCATTTCAATAAATGGCAAATTTTTTTTTCTGAACAATCTTTTGTTCATCTAAAAAGTGGAAGAGTTTCATAAAAATTACTATCGTGCTACGATTATTTTATAAAATAGAACCACTACAGAGATATATGTTGTCACTAAATTTGAAGTCGTTCAATAGACTAGCGCATTCTTTAACGACATGGATAAACTCACATCAGCATTCTCACAGCACTCTCCTTCGTTTCCACCAAGGCAGGTTTGAGTTGTCGACGGACATGAGCCGCCGGCAAGACAGGCTAAAATACAAGTGATGAATAGCCTTTAGAGAGTCCACAAAACACGTTTAACTGTTTGCCTAGAATCTTTTTTTCACAAACTTTTTTGGCGATTTTTGAATATCATTCTGTAAAGCTGTCAACTCAAATCCACAGTATGAACGAATTTGCAATCGCTCTTTTTAGCGTAGATTTGAGGTAGAGGGTTCCAATTCCAACACACATACTGCCATTGTAAATCAGCTGTCTAATCAAAAGTATTTCCGAAAAAAAGAGTTATGTGACAAGGTTTTTACGTGCCTGCTAGTAACATGTAGACGATGCATTACAGTAAAATCAAAATTCGAGTTTAGAATGCTAATTATCTAACAAGGAGAGGATACTTAGTCGAAAGCACCAATCCAGATAAGACACATATCATCTTAAAGCGCTTAAAACGCTGATTCCAAATCTGTAGTTTTTAGCAGCGGAGCGGTTTTGTGGAAGGAGTTATGAGGGATGTTTCCCTCTGGGGTCGAAGCGCCCTCCAGCAAGTCTTCTCTTACCCTACTGGTACCAACTGGTAGCAACTGGCTAGTGGTAAGTAATTTGAATGACGATTACACTAAGGATTATAATACTTGTATTGCTTTGGTTTTTTAACACTTCGAGCTTTAATTAGCATCTATATCATCCGAAATTTCAGGCTTTAGGGCTCTAGAGCCATTCAAAAGCTCAAGAATTGTGATAAAGTTGCATGCGAAAGGGATCAAACCTTCACACTCTCTTTATCAAGCAAAGCACTTACCACTAGGCCACTTGCCACCAGTTGGTACTCCTCTACAGTGCTCATAGATAAGGAGAGACTTGCTAGAGGGCGCCTTAACCCCAAAAGGAAACACCCCTCATAACTCCTTCTACAAAACCTCAGCTTTTCAAGCGCTTTAAGATGATATGTGTCTCATCTGGATTGGTGCTTTCGACATCTTGTACAATCTACATGATTCTTTGATATATCAGTGCACGAATAAAAATTTTTTGATATTTTGATTCAAAGTACCCATCCGAAGTATAAGGCTCCCTCATGTATTAGGGTACGGAAATTTATGTATTCCTACGCAATCACGACATGCCGGAAAGACATCGTTTGACAGAGTAAAGCAACATCTGCAAGACTACTTTTGAAAGATCGCAAAGAGCTAAATTCGCATGAAAATTGCAAGCAAAATCCAAAAAACTGAATCACCCAATCAGATCTCCGCCCATACCTTTTATTGGGCCAAAAACGCGAAATTACGGTTTTTTTTTCGTTTTGAAACTAAAATCAATATTTTTGTGAAACTAGCCCTCAAAGGAAGCTGACAATCTATGTTCGTACCTTTCAAAGGTTGGTAGTATAGAATTGAATATGTCAGAGTAGCTCAGCATTGCGCTTGCTGAGATGCGCCAAATTTTTTTCTCAATTTCTTGTAGTGGAAAAATACCGCATACCGCGACTATACATAAGAATGTTTGAGTGGAAAGTATATGCCTGACCAAGTTGGAAGTTCATAGGCTCTTTTGTACTAAAATTTAATTTTCCGTTTTTTCTTTTGGGTTTTGCTTTCAAACTTTAAGTGCATCAAATTTCTTGTAATCACTATAATACAGTCTTGTAAGGTTGCTTTGCTTTATTGAATAAAATGTTTCCCGTGTTATTAATTTTTATAATTACACTGTCGGCTGAGTAATGAACCTCAATTTCCGGATCTGATACAAATAATGCACACGCATCGTCCGTGCCAAATTCAAGCGACTGATAGTTGTGCAAATCACATCTATTCAGCGAGCCCTATGTGCTCGCTGAATAGATGTGATTTGCTAAATGGATGATGAAAACTTTTGAAAATTTGGTGTTTATTCAATTTTGAATTTTCGATAGAGTTTTGACAAATATAGATCCCAAAAATTACAGTTTAACTTAATGATTCTTAAAGGTAGCAAAACGAATTACACGCACTTTCGCACAATTTCTGTTCTGCAAAATATGATTAAATGAAAGACTTTCTTCTGTAACAACTCCTGATCACAAGAGATGTAACGAAAACCTGCGCAGACATTGTTTGCGAAAATTTAGTACTTAATTTTAGCAAATTTAGTACTGAACGTCACACGTCTCCCGCGTTATCGCAAGTGAGCCAGCACGTGATGCATAAAATGCGCCTTACACTCCGGATGATGAAGCATATGATTTTGAGTAATCACTCACGTCCTACGGATACCCCACAACTTAGAGTAGATTCAGTAATTTCCGGAAGAGCTGATATTAGCAGAATAACCAGTGGATGCATTATTCAGTTAAATTGCAAAAGCGTCTGCACTTTCAGATGCTTCCTCCATTTTTATACTGACCTCGTCTTCAAAAGAGTGAATCATAAACCTTTAAGAACATTGTTTTCACCATAGCGAGTGTGAATGAGGAAACTTTCGTACTTCACAATCTATCACGAAGGTTATCACGCACAGTTGACCTTTTTTCTAAAAAAAATGTGAAGCAGGAGCGTACGCAGAGAAATCTGAGAAACTTGACAGTCATATCATCTTAACATTCGATTTAATCCCGCATATACTATCCACATCTTTGACCCAAAAGGCCTTACATTGTGATCTCGGTTTAGGCGTACCTTCCACAATTCAAACTCTGCATTACGAGTGAGGGAATTTACATACAAGGATAGACTTCCGCTACGTAATTAGCGGAGTTCATGAGAGGTCATGAACTGGCAGCAACGCTAATTTGCACCCAATTTGCACCGAAAACGAGCTGGATTTGCATACGGTAACTCCGTCATCATGCTACAGCTTATGAAACCGGAATTTCTTTGAAAATAGAATTCAATATGATAATCGTTTGGTTTGAAACCTGGGATTTTTTCTTTTTTGAATTTAAACTTGTTTTCACAAACCTTCCAGCAAAAATTTTTAAAATTCTATTTAAGGGTTTTCTGTGATGCTGTTTTCCAAATATGCTAATGACTTCGCTTGAAACTTTGAATTATTTTTCCTTCGAAATTTTGAGTTGTTCAAATCCTCTGTAGATCTTTTCCGTTTGTTTTTCAGTTTCATCAAATTTGCAGTGAGGTTACGGGAAAAAGGTGGGAAATTCAAGAATAGAAAAATTTTGAGGTATCAAACGAGACCATCAGCTTTTTCGGAAACAGTATGTCAGAAATTCCTCATTGTGAAATTTGCCAAATTTGCCGGGAATTTGTAGAACAAATTAAAATTTCGAAAAAAAAAATATTCAAAGTTTCAAGCGAAGTCAGTAGCATATCCGGAAACAGCACATTCACAGAAAACCCTTAAAGGAATTTTTGAAGTTTTTGTTGGAAAGTTTGTGGTTTAAGTTCAGATTCAAAAGAGAAAAAATTCTAGGTTTCAAACGAAACGATTATCATATTCGGAATCAGCAGAAGATCAGCAGATAGAATACCCCTAAATTCAAGTTTTACCCTAATTGGACTGAATTTACTACTGAACCTTGAATATGAATTTCAAAGAAATGGTTTCATAAGCTGTAGCATGATAACGGAGTCAGTGCAAAATCAGCTCGTCTTCGGTGCAATTTGGGTACAAAATAGCTTTGGTGCCAGTTCATGACCTCTCATAATTACGTAGCGGCAAGCCTAGACCTGTATGTAAGTTCCGCTCCCCCTGCATTACAACTTAGTCAGCTGCAAATCACACGATTAGGCTAACTGGTAAGCCAGGAAGTTTCAATGAAATATTTACTGATTTGACATAAACTTCCGCATAACGTCTCTCGGCTAGATTATAGGTATGAACTCTTAAAGCAGCCTTATTTCAGTAAGGAAAAATTGACTTTTCCCTCAATTCTCGTCATATCGCATAATTGCAAGGTCCAGTCTTTGTCATTACTCGTTTGGAAGATTTGAGCAATCTGCTGATGTTGATAAGATCCATAACCTCGAATTGGTGTCCGGCTGCCGACGGACAGCGGGCAATAAATATTAGGTTGGTAAGAAAGTTCTCGGACATTTTCAGGAAAAATCTGCTATTTCTCAAAACCTAACGCATATACATCAGACTGAGGTACCATTCGATAGAGCAAAGCAAACTCTACAAGATGGTGTGCAAAGGTTCGTATCAGCTTCGACCCACCGTAAGTGTTCGCCCAAAATCTGAGTCGTACTGAAATTCAAAAAATCGCGAAAAATTAATATCTTTGTTCAGACAAATCTTCCGGATCTCTAACTGCTCACAAAAATTGCACACCATGTCAGACACTCACATGCACCGTTCCTGTAATTTTTCCTCATCTAGAAATCGAAAAAACGAAAATTTTCATGCTCATGTAATAACGAAGCTGTGCTGTTTCCACTCGTGCATTTGAATAGTACAAGCCCTTAGAAGTATAACCGTAAATTTTCAGCTTTCTACAGGCCCTAGTTCCCGAAAATTAGCGATTTAAGCGCTTTTCACTCGGGCGTTCCATGCTAAAATTAATATTTTTCGACAACTAGGGCTTACGGAAAGCTGAAAATTTACGGTTATACTTCTAAAGGCTTGAACTATTTAAATACGTGGGTGGAAACAGCACAGCTTCGTTTTTACATGAACATGAAAATTTTCGTTTTTTCGATTTCTAGATGAGAAAAAATGACAGGAACGGTGCATATGAGTGTCTGATGTGGTGTGCAATTTTTGTGAGCAAGTTGGAGATCCGGAGGATTTGTTTGAACAAAGATAAGAATTTTTCGCGACTTTTTGAATTTCAATACGACTCAGACTTCGGGTGCAAACTTACGGTGGGTTGAAGCTGGTGCGAATTTTTGCATACCTCTTGTAGAGCTTGCTTTGCTCTATCTAATGGTACTTCAGTCTGATGTATATGCGTTAGGTTTCGGGAAATAGCAGATCTTTTCTGAAAATGTCCGAGAACTTTCTTACCAACCTAATATTACATTTATTTTTAAGTGGATGATCAATTCTTTGTAGCTAATCATAATCCAACATGTTCTTGCAATTCGCATTGTGAATTTATTCTATAGTTTCATACCGTAACATGATGAATGATCAGTTTTCAAAAGATAATCATGATTTAGCATGTTCTTGCTATCCGCATTATAGATTTATTCTATAGTTCCGCTGCAATATTCGATGTACAGAAATCAAAGTATCATTAAGGAAAGGAAATGCTTTCGTGATACATGCTCAGCTGTGATTACATTGCTGATAATTTTTTGCGACATTTCAGTGTTTGTTAAGGCACTTTGCACCAAAAAACTTTTATCGCGATTGTGCAGATTGCGAAGCTTTCGTTGCAATCCTGGAAGACCTCGCACTGTATAATAAAAAAAAAATTCTAGAATCAGTTAGAAGTTTAACATTTGCTCCTCTGTGCTAGCATAAAAGTAATTCGAAAGCAATGAACTTTGAAATTTTGATGATAAGCGCTGTTTTTCATGGAGAATTTTATGAAAAAACGTCTGACGTACTTTGTGAAGATCGTAACATATATCAGATGGTTCCAAAAATCTTTTCGTAATTTTAATTTCCACCGATATGAATCAGTGCATGTATATCCTTGATAGGATGCGGGGTAGTATTCCAAATTAAAGCAATCCAAATTTTCCTAAAAAAACGAAAAACAATCGTATATCAGTTTGAAAGCTCTGCGAATTTTTAACTCGCTCACGCATATACTCTCCCCATCTGATATTATACGAATATACACCTACCTTTTTTCTTCTAATGGCTAGAAACAAAGAAAAAAATATTGCGCTAATTTTATAAGCTTTGTTTGTAGCGAATCTGTGTTCCTCGCACAGATGTAAAACGTAGTGAATGCATAAATTGCTAATTCCAAATCTGCCTTTTCCTTATATGCAGAACATTTACGGACAAGGAGTTATAAGCGCTTATCGAAGCAAAATATTTAACAAAAATTACCGTAATACTTTTCTAGCTTTTCAATGGAGCAGTGGTAATCACCACAGCGCTTTATTCAATACTCCAAAATTAAAAATATCATAATTGGCTGCATTATTTGAGGGCAATTAAGATTTTAGCAACTCATTTCATGCAAAATGCGCATTCAATTTTTCGCTCCAAAAAACGCCCATGACTTCTTGCCCATGAATGTTCTGCAGATATGAAAGCCAGGTTTGAAATCAGCGTTTTATGCCCTTCAGTATGGTATACATTTTGCTTACAGGGGAAGGATACTTGGATGCCGTAGCCTTTCATAATGATTTGTATACCAAAAAATGCGCTTTTGAATGCTGGTTCGTAGACTGTCTTTCATGTCTGCGAAACGATAATCTGAATGGAGTTATGATTTTTTTTATTAAAAAAATTGCGTTCCTGCGGAGGGTCAAAATCATCAATAAAAAAATTTTCTCTCCTTTCCAAATGCTGAGTATAATCCAGATAGTCTAAATAAATATTACTACGTCTAAAATTTTCTTCAGTGGCATCAATCGGTAGGCTAGATCAAATCTGGTGATTTTTACTATCCAAAAGTAGGCTAAATTTTCAAGGAAAAAAGTTCATAACTTTCTTCAAAAGATCGTTTCGCAGATTTCGAGCACAGATTCAGAATCTGCATTCGAAGGCGCATTTTTTGGTATACAAATCATTAGGAATGGCCGCGGCATCCAACTATCCTTCCCTTGTTAGAAAGGCCTCTTTGACTTTACAAACTTCTTGTAAGTCATTTTGCAACTCGGTGGGTAGGGTTGACCGACGACTCCCGTTCTCGCGGAGCTACTGGAGGCGGAAACGAGTGAATCCAACCTACTGGCCAGATTGACAGGTAGGCAGCACCGAATCGGTTTTTATGGAAGAAGAATCCGGAAACTTGAAGTTCGTGCAAAATTTTCAAGAAAATACTTCCGTAATCTTTTTAAAGCTTAAAGATTCCTGTGAAAAGGATTTTGCCCGATGATTCCGACATGCCCATAATTTGCAGTGCTCGATCTCCTAAGATTTACCATTCCGCATTATTAGCGAAAGTGATGTTGACCAAGTTCTTTTACCTTGAAGATCTTGCTGCTTCAAAAAAATCACTTGGCGGTTCTAATAGTTCAACTTTATGCAATATTAGCAATGTGTTTGAAGGGCATCAATCAATCAAAGAAGTTTTGTACATATGAACACGGCGGATAGCTTCCAGAATGCAAAGTTAGATGATATGCTTAGCGATGAAAGCATATGCGCGCATTTTTCGAAAGCCTTACGAGGACAAAAAAGGCTTAATAACCATGCGTGAAGCTTAAAATATGTTGTGCAGTTTGAGAATATCAAATATTGCCCAATTCAGATTTTGCAACTGCCA